TAAATTTCACCTCCATCTCTTAGTAGCAAGATGTCTTTAACCAATTTGCTCAACATTTCTGACCTCTGCTTCATTGTGTAAATAATGGGGATAAACCAGACACTGTGGCTCATGCCTGCAATTCAGAACTGTGGGAGGCTGAGGAAGGAAGATCTCAAGCTCACACCCACCCAGGGCAACTTAGTGAGAGCCTTTCCCAAAATAAAGAATAAAAAAGAGCTGGGGATGTAACTATGCAAAGACCCCAGTACCACAAGGAAGGAGGATAATCACACCCACCCTATGGGGTTCTTTGTGGATATTAAATGTATTATTTAATGCAAAGAACTAATAAATGGTGAAGAGGAAGAGGAAGGTAAGTAGCTATTATTAAGACACTAGAAAAGTATCAGGTGACCAGGTCAAGAGCATCCTGGAGGGTTATATTGTGAGTAGTTTTGCAGAAAACTTTGAGGAGATTGATACTGTTTAAATTAATATATACTGTGTAACATTACACCTTCCCTGCCCACATTTTGTGGCCCTCTTCACCCCAGCACGTTTATCATTTGCCAATGTACATTGTTTCTTATTTGTTATGTTCATTTATCTGTATGCTCTCCTAGAACGTCTTATGTGAATGTCTTATTGTTCACTAAATCTTAAATTCAGTGTAGCTTGAAACAAGGCCTGGCACATAGTAAGCACTTGATAAATGAGTGGATGATTTTTATAGCATTTAGCATTTCATAAATCCATTCAAATGTACTGGCAGCTACTGCGTAATGTGGCTGGACCCTGGGTACGGAGCATGCCCAAGATAGCTCAGGCTCAGCCTAGGGTAACACTGAGTACTAGGCCAGGAGCCAGAAGAATCTTCAGATTCTCTGTGAGCTTTTTTGCCATTTCCAGGGTTGACCACTCACAGGCTGGATTCATGAGCAAGTCACATAAGAATTTAACTAAAGCTTCATAAAAAATAAGAGTAACATTGCCTACCTGTAATTTCCCTCACATTATGTAGAGATTATATAAGATTACTTTGTAAAATCTAGAGGCTCATATGAGAAAGCAAGAAAGACCAAGTGCTGAACTTTTAGTGGGGATCAAAAAAATCAAAAAGAAATAAATAGGAAGTGGTAGTGGTAGGTTTTGCTGGCCTCTATCCCAAGCTGAAGGCTCTTAAGGCCCAGGGTTTTAGCTCAGTGGTGTCACTGCCTGCCTTGCAAGTGCAAGGTCCTGAGTTTGATACCTGTTACCACAAAACAAAAAACAAAAAAAAACACCAAAAACAAAAAAACGCAAGCCAAAGGCTCTTCGGTGGGATCAGACTCTGAACAAGTTTGCTTGCTTGCCTTTCCCTTTCTTCCTTTTTTCCATCCATCCTTCCTTCCTTCCTTCCTTCCTGTCTGCCTCTTTCTGTTTTCCTTTCTTCTTTCTTTCCTCCTTTTTTCTTTCTCTCTGTCTCTCCTGTTTCTGTCCCTCCCTCCCTCCCTCCCTCCTTCCTTTCCTTCCTTCCTTCATTCCTTCCTTCTTTCCCCAGGCTGGTATCCAACCCAGAGTCTCATGGTGGACAAGCAGTTTACCACTAAGCCACAGATGATTCTTTTTTAAGTGCTGATTCTGAAGGGTAGAAGATTCCCCAAAAGCATTAAGTGAACAATGACTAAAGAAAAATACTCATCAAGTATAGATTATACCCAGCCCTACCCAGGTAATTTCTGGGTTGTGCAGTTGATAGACAGCCCCTGGGAATGGCAGCTTATCAACAAGTTCAGTGATGGTGATGACCAGAGCGAAAGGAAAGCAAAGAGGGCTTTGCTGGAGAATACTCCAGTTGCTTAAGGAAGCATCCCTCTAAAGACGACTTGGCCTGGGATTCCCTTCCTTCAAGACGAGGCGATGCCTAGATCCAACCTGAGACCTAAAATCTGGGGTGCATATATCCGTCTTTGTTCCTTTATGAGCCACACTGCATTAATTCAGTGTAACACACCAATGTGGCATGTGGAGGAGAAGGCAGAAATAAAGAGAGCTCAGAGGATGAAAGAAAGGGCAAAATACAACAGTTGCTGATAGTGTGGGACTTGGGAGACAGTTATATCCCAAGAAAAATTTGGGGGTATTTCTTTATGGTGTATGGTATAAAATCCACAAGAAACCTTGCTTTAAGCAAACTTGTATTAAAGGACTACATCTGTTTCAAACTTTGATTTGTGTTTCTTTGAATATGATATTATGCTTATTCTGAAACACGTGGGTTACTGGGTCATTAGAGTTACACCAACCAGACTTCTCTTTCATATCTTTATTTAGTTTTTTTAAATGATATTTTTTTGTGTGTGGGGGTTTGCAAGGCAGGCAGCAGAACCACTGAGCTAAATTCCCAGCCCCTTAAACGATATCTTTAATTACCATTTTCTACTGGTCACTACATTTGTCATTCACTGTAACAACATGTGATTCACATCTCAAGATATATTACCATTTCTAATATCATTTTAGCATTACATTATTATACTATCTCTTCTCATAGATCAGTTGCTGTTTCTTAAGATTTAGGAGTTATTTTTTTTATTTTTTTTTCTTTTTTTTTTGTACCAGGGATTGAACTCAGGTCCTTGTGCTTGTGAGGCAGGTGCCAGAACCAGTGAGCTAAATCCCCAGACCTAGGAGTTACTTTTTATTTCCTCTACAGAACTATGGCTAAGAGTCAGTAATATCAGACAAGAGCTCTATCTGTGGCTAATTCTACTTTACATTAATTATCAGTAAAGCCAAGCGTGGTGATGCAGGTCTATAACCCCAGCATTCTGGAGGCTGAGGCAGGAGGTTTGCCACAAATTTGAGCCCAGCCTGGGGTACCTAGTGAGTTCAGGGCCAACCTGAACTACAAAGAGAGACCCTGCCTCAAAAAACCAAAACCAAAACCAAAACAAAACCATAAAAAGCAATTATCAGTATCCCGAAAATGCAGTCCGCTCTTGTCATCAGACAATATTCTGACTCAATTTTCAGGAAATTTTGTTACTTTCTAAATTATTCAGCAAACTGGAGAGTGAAGCCAGTTAGATTTGGGAATCTGCCTTATTATTTAAGTGCTTTATTACTTTAACTGTTTTTAATATGAGTCTAGAGTAGATTTTTGGTAGTTTGGTCAAAAAGATGGGTAAAATGCTTAGAATGAATTTATTATTTACCTGCTTTCTTTTCCCAGTTAACAAGCAATGATCATTAGGCTACTATGTATTTTTATAACAAAGACAAGAAAGAAAATTATGCTTGGAATATGTTTAAACAAGTCCAGATTTGCATCAGTGGGGAGCAGTGTTGCTCAAATTCTAAAGCTTTCTCTTCCCAATTCTTTTTGGACTGTAGTGAAAGCATTCCTCAAAAAGGGAGCAGTTCACTTAATTAAACAGAAAATATCAAGAACATTTCTTTTGTGATGCTTCAAAGGCAGTTGGGCTGCTTAGGCGAAGATGAAAGAGCCCAGGCCATTCACAGAGAAGTCACATGGACACAATGGTTGCTATGGTTTTAATACTGGAGGAAGAGGGAGAACACATTCAGGAAAGGTGGCTTCAGAGCTTAGTAACTTGGAAACAGGGCCGTTTGGAGTGATAGTTCTAAATATTTCAGCAACGGAGATACAAAAAGACATCTAGGAATACTGAGGTCTGATTGTTAAGCAAATCCTACTATAAACTTTCTGTTGCCTGGTGTCCAGGTTGAGGACAGGTAAATGGCAGACAGGTTTTATTTTAGCAAGGGCCACTAGAGGCACTGTACGCAAAGCAGTGATGTAAGGAAGGTTGTTAGCAAACAGGACGTGGCCTTCTTGCAGCAGTGTGAGGAATATGAAGGAGACCCCAGAAGGGTCTGCAAGAAAGCAAAGATATACCATGGATAGAGACTGAGGGCAGCTTGGCCCACGAGGCAGCATTTCCTGAAGGAGTTCCAAGGACACTGGTCATGTAGGATTGCCATAGATAGTGTAAAAGTCGTGAAGCTTGTGTACATGGTCCTTTCCTGGAAGACTTTTCAGAGCCTGTAACTGTACCAGCATGCCTCAGGCACCTCCAGGAAGAGAATATGTGATATGCATCTGTGTCATTTCCCCAGTTTAGAAGACCACAAAACTGTTGGGGTTTTTTTTATTTGTTTGTTTGTTTTGGTTTTTCCAAATACAGTCTTCTGAAGATCACATATTGGGAAATTCTATTCTAGGGTTTATCATAGATTTTTTCAAACCTTGTTGGTTGAATGAATGAGTGTGTGAATGAATGAATGAATTGTAGGTAATAAGAGGCAGACTGGGAGGGTGTCAAAAGAAAGAGAAAGCATGTATGGTATTTCTAATTGAGGGGATCATTTTGAGGCTAGGAATCCCTGCCTTTGGTACTTCGCTCTAATGCACCTACCACCTTCTCTCCTGCATCCTGCCACCAGCTGTAGACTAGTAAGATTTATTTTATTTAGATATATCTTATTACCTATTCTTCCTTACTATTCTTACAGATTCCCACATGGACCTCAGTGAAATTAAAGTTGTTGAAGGGTATAAAGTTGATGATACCATGAAGGTTTGAAATCTTCTGGGCCAGGGGTCCCTGGGTTCCGAGGTCTCCTGTGTGTTTGCTTGAAATATGCATATAAGTACATAGCCTTCCTTGCTCTTCCATTCCACATCCATGCTTTTATTTTCACTCTGATTTGGATAAGAAAGCAAATGGTACTCTGCAAAGTGTCATGGTAAATTGGTCAGAGAATTATGTGCTACATTAATGCAACTTTTGAAAATGGGAAGCTAAGCCTTATACCCCCACACACACATAGGTGAGGTAAAGAGGGAGAACAGACAGATATCAGAAAAGTCTCCATAACAAAGATAGTATGGAACTATTCACCAAGCAAAATGTTTGACTAAGAAACCTACAAGGCTTTGAATGACTCCCAAGTATTGCTTATCAGCGAATATCAACTTTGGTGTAAGCATGACTTTCGTTGCTCTATTTCAGAACGCCAACCAGGTGCCTCTGTGGCCAATTCTAATGCCCTCGCTTCAAGTTCAGCTGGGATCCTCAAGGAACTGATCGATCTGCAGCCCCTCATCCAGTTCCCAGAGGAAGTCGCCAGTATCCTAACAGAACAGGAGCAGAATATTTACCGAAGGGTCCTGCCAGTTGACTACCTTTGCTTCTTAACCCGGGACTTGGGCACCCCAGAATGCCAGAGGTCCCTGCCCTGCCTCAAAGCATCCATCTCAGCATCAGTTCTTACCTCTCATAATGGAGAGCACAATGCTCTTGAAGACCTTGTGATGAGATTTAATGAGGTAAGGAGCCACTCTTGTATGGCTTTGTATTTGAAGTGCCACTCGTGATTTTGAAGCAAATTTTTCTCTTAGGTTTGTCTCTCACTGCTATGTCATATTCCTGTCTTGACACTTTCATCATGGTGGTTTTTCTTTCCAGGCAGTAAACTTGACAACACACTTTTTCCTTCTCACTGTACCCACCTGCCCTTAAGCCTAATTGACCCTGTCTCCCTCTCCTATTATTGCTGAGTGCACTGAGCCTTCTCTTTTCTAATAACCAGATGCAACCCCTGGTCTCTCCTCTACCCACTCCCACTGGTGTTTTTGAGACTAGATCTCAGTTTAAAGTTTTGACAACATGATACCTCACCACATCTGTCTAGCCCACTTCCTGTCCCATTGTCAGGACTCCTCAGCAAAAAGTTAAAACCACACACGCCTGGAGAACCATGAAGCCACTCACTGAGGGGAGAGCTCTGTCTGTATCCTGTGGATGTCTTCAGCCCCAGAGAGTCACTGCCAAACCTTGGAGACCCAGCCAGAAGCCAGTTCCGAAGAGGACAAGTGTAGCTGGAGGCTGGGAACACCTAGGATGGAACATGTTATGGGGTTTAGGAGTTGTACCTGCTAAAAGCGCAGGTTCCTGTTCTCACCCCAAGCTGAGTAAGAATCTCTGGGAGTCTGCATCACAGCTTGCAAACTATGCTGATCCGAAGTTGCTTTTTTTTAAATGGCATTATTTATTTTCCTTACTGATAAAAATGAACTGGAAAATGAAATTCCCATAAATTGAGTGATTTTATTAGTGAGTTTTACTGTATTTTGTAAATTATTTTAAACTTCTTAATCTACACACACTCACATCTTTAGGATCCTATTCTTTTCCCTTTTTTAAAAATCTGAACTAAACTTAAAAGTAAACTGCCAGAACTTTTAAGATCTAATTTTAAATTAAACTTGGGTTTCTTCCACTCACTGTTATAACCTTGGGAATCAAAGATAAATCGATCATATCACTAATTCAGAGCTAGTGATGATATGACCCACAGCTGAGTTGAGGCTTGCTTTAGACTGTCTCTGAAAATAGTTTAGCTGAGCAACTTTGGAACATAAACAAGATTTCTGGGAAAACACTTAAACTACTTAAGAGAACAGTCTGTTTTGAAGTATTCTTAAGCATGTATTTTTATACAAATTATGGGTATGCTAATTAAAAATCATTCTTACATAGTCTTTGCAAGCAAATCCCAAATAAACTCCACTAGAAAAACCTAAGATGGCTAAATTACAGTTGCTTTGTATAACTTAATCTAGAAAAGCTACATTACATTTCAAAAGATTTATTACAGATTTTCACCTTTTTAAAAATATGCTTGTTTCCAAATTAGCATACCTTTCTACCCTGAAAAGAAGGGGCAGGAAAAAACTTGCATCTATATTGTAGACATGATAGACCAGACATTTTCACATATTCAGTCCCATTTAATCCTTATAACTATTGGCATTATTCTTGTTTTTCAGATGAAAATGAAGTTTACACAACAAAATAAGGAATGACAGCATTATATTCTGACCCATAGAGTAAAATAAATATTCCTGAATCCACTAGTATGAGTAAATACTAAATTAGTCAATGTAATGAGTAGCAGGAGGACAGTTCTTGGTTATTGGAGAATTCCAGTTAGCAAATGTAGGAGGAATAAGGAAAAAGGAAATAACCATTAGATTTCCTATAGTAATAATTGTCACAGGCAAAAAGCACTGATGAGTTCTAAAATGACTGGGCTAAAGTAAATGTGAAAAGAGGCAGGATATTTGCATGGTCTCAGAGAGACTCTGCACAATGTATTTATTAATTACCAAGGAAAAAATAGAACAGTGTAGAAAACCAGTAGTAGACACTATCTCAACCACGCCATCAAGGATGACAAGACCAGTAATAAGAATATCCGTGTATGTCCCCTGATATGTATAATGGCCCGAGAAGGTATGACATCATCTCTATGGCATTCTTGTCTCAAATCTAATTATGAAACCAGTATCAGGCAACTCCACAGTTAGGGACATTCTGCTCTTCAGAAAGTGCCAAGGTCATGGAAAGTAAGAAAAAGTCAAGGAATTATCAAGACTAGAGACAAGTAGACGTGACTGCTAAGTGCAATGTGGGATCCTATTGGATACTGAATTAGAGAAAAAGAGACAATTGAAAAACTGGTGAAACCCTAATAAGGCTTGCAGTTTATGTTAGTTTCCTGATTTTCATACTTACACTGTGATTAACATCAAGAGAAGGATATACTGAACTGGAATTCTGTGTACAGTTTTTGTAACTTTCCTATAAATCTAAAATTACTTCAAAATCAAAAGTTTTGGAAGAAAGCAGTGAGCCCAGAGGGGTTGTGTCACTTGTCCATTTCCATATAGCAGCTGAGTGACTATCAGAATTCAAATCTGCCTCTCTTTTTCCACTCTTGTTTTTCACTATATTTCCCATGCATCTCTTTTTCCCATTCCTCTTTTTGTTTCTATTTTTATCCAGTTTCACATTATTTAGATTTCTACCATCCCTCTCTCTTCATTCATTCATCCGTTCATTCAAAAGTATTTATTGTGCACCTACATGCTCTTGCCATCTCTCTTTTTCCCCCCACTGGTGTGGTCAAGCATATTTTTAAAAGTAAGACATTTGTGATATTTGATGGAGCTTGACAACATCAACAGCTTGTGCTTTTTGGTTTTATCAAAATTGGACAGACAAAATAAATACACTTTCATCAAAGGGAAGGAAAATGTATGTTCCTTAGAATGCTGCAGGATCTTACAGAGAAGAGAAAGAACCTCAGCCCTGCAGCAGCTCTGCTAGTCCCTCCGGGGAGATGTGAGTGTGTGTATTCTTGCATCAGTCCTTGACTCTCGTGTATTCAGCACCTGTTAGGAGGAGGACGATGTTTGCTATGCGCTGAGGAAAGTAACAGTGTGCAGTGGCCACAAGTGAGCAGGCAAGGACACAAATAATTACCAAAAAAGGCAGAAAGCATTGCAGTGAGAGTGGTAGGGTCTGAGGCATCGAAGCAGGAATCAGAGCTCCCTTTGCTCAGCAGAAGTTGGAGTTTGGAGCTGGGCCTTGAGTGAAGAGGAGAGGAATTGGAGGGGACTGTCATGGGGAAGCAGGCACAGTGAAGCAGGACCACAGCCAGTTTCCATCATGGCAAGACTCGTGGCTTTGGGAAGGAGGTTGTGCTCATGAGCTAGAAGTTTCCCACATTCTAGCAAGTCTTTTACACAATGACTTAACTGTGGTGAGGGGAAAGGGATGAAAAGTCCCAATGCCTTTGGGGCAATGTTGCATAATGTTTGTTCTTAGGAAAGTATGGCTAAAATGCCTTCGAAATACAACCATGAAATAGCTGGAAAGGTTTAGCTGACATGAAGTCAGGGCAGGAGATAAATCACTGATGGTTTTCACTATGGCTCTGAAGCAGTCTTTCGTTCCAGCCTTCTTCTCTTGCCCAACAAGACAGCAGTGTACACCACACAAGCTTCCTAATGGCAGTCTCCCTCTCTTCTTGAAAAATGCATGCAAGCCCATGGGAGAGGGTGGGCCTTAAGCAGGTGGGAGTCAAGATCTGCACTGGGATAGGCTTGCTCAGTTTGGGAGAAAGGCCTTTCTGGACCCTCTTAATCTAGACCCCACTCTCTTGCATATTCTTTTTCTAAAGCTCCCATGAGCCAGTATTTTCTCTTGCCTTTCTGGCTTCACTTCCTGCCCACCCATGAAGTCTCTTGCTTTGACAGTCTCAAATTATGTTTTTCTTTTTTCCCCTCCTTTTTCTTCTTCTATCCAGCTTCTACCTCTAGCTCACATTTCTTCTGGTCTTTTTAAAATTTTCTCTGATACTAAATTCCCAACCATTTACCTTTTTTAAAAAATAGGCATTTCTTTTTTCTACCTTTTCTTTAACAAAGAGATTGCCTGCAGCTGAGAAGAGATGAGAGACGAGAGATTGAAGTTCACCCTCACTTCCTTTGCTTCCTCTCCCCTTTTTAAAGAAACACCAGGGGGAACTTTGCAAGGACAGCAGATTCTGGAGAGAGAGCTCTGAGTCTGTAGTCTTCAAACCTCCTTAATAAATAGAGCCTCTGTCTTTGTTATGTTGTTGACTCTGTGATGATCTTTGAGGTTGGAATTCTTCATCCTCTGTGTCTATGGCTGGTTCTCAGTAATCTGCCACCAAAGTGACAGACAGAGGTTTGGCTCTATAGCCTGTCACTGCTCACAACCGTGTAGGGCACTCTTCTGTGTGAGAAGATTGTGGCCTATGAATCGTTTTCAGCTTTTAGAGGCCATTAGCAGGTTAACTTCCCCCATGCCTTGAGAAGGCGGTTCTTTTTTGTTGAGTGGCTATTCGCAACATCTGGGCTCCTCTTTTGGACTGGCAGGTCCAAGGACAGGACATGAGCTGTAGACTGAAGCCATAGTAACATGGGACCCCAGAAGCTTCTGCACCTGAATTTGGACCCTGAGTGTCTTCCCTCCACCCACCTTGTCTGTGGTCAAGAGGAGCACTCATCAACCTGCTCCCCTGAGCCAGGCTTGGGCAGCCCAAAGCAACATTTAGTTGTTGCATGTTCCTACCAGCTAGTAGTTTCACCACTTGTCAGTTCACCAGTTTAAAAGGCCACTCCATCTAGGAAGAATGCTAAGGTGTAGCTTAACTCCTTGTGAAAGAGCAATAAGAATAAATAAACTATCTGGCCATAAAAAAGACACTTGAACTGGGTCCTTCCAGTCAGGATTCCATGTATACTTCCTAAATAATGAGGATCACTTTGGCAGTTTTCACCATCCAGAAATCAGTCTGCTCATAGCTAAGGAAAGTCCATTTCTATACAGAAAGTAGAAAACACAGCATATGATAATAATCTGGGAAAGGGCAGTGTCCTTGTGGCCAAATATGTTCCTTTAGTTAAAATGCTTTGAAAAAAAAATATTGCTTTTGAAGTTCTATATTCAGCCA